CTTCTTCCAAAGAAGAGCACCAAGTAAACATTTACTTGAACAGCAAACGAAAAACAACAAACAATGATTCATGCTTGAATCAAAACACAAAAACAGGAAATTATTATTTCCACCCTTTTACCAAAGACCATCCCAACTCGACTTGTATTCCACCATTTTGCTTGAACCACACTAACCCATTTGTATTTGCTTGTCGTACATGTAATGTCAATATCCATAGATTGTAACAAATATTTTTAAAATACAAACCACCATATACACATTACTATTGCAAGACAACTCTACAGTGCCGGTACCATTGGGTTTCACACCATTTTTCCTTTTCAAGGTAAAGTACTGGTATGCTTTTACTGTACGTTGAATATGAGCCATGTCATTGGTTTCCTCCTTTTCTTCGTCGGCAATCGATGCCTTTCGTCATGTGCCACCATTGACACGTAGGTACCGCTATCATCATTCATTCATTCTTTATCATATTTTTTATTGCATTACTTTGCCCAAGACAACGCCATCCTTCTTTGTTTCAAATCAAGATAATACGCTGTCCACAGTTGACTTTGCGTTGTGAATATAACCTGAGCCAGTCATTGATCATTTTTGTTCGTTGGTAGTCCATGCCTTTCGTATATTGTTTTGGCTTCGATACTTGTTAAAATAATACTATCATCTATTGCTGTGTTACTTAAAATTACAATGGAGACAATGACAATGCAATACAAGTGGGTTAGAGATGGGTGCTTTTGGCTTGGTTCTTTGTGCATTGGGTGAGCTCTAAAAGAGCTCGTGTTGGTTGTTTTTGTTGTTATCGTGAAAGTTGTGTTGAATACCATGGATTCAAAACGATCCAAAAAAGTAGAATGTTTACTCCTTCTTGGCAGATTTCTTGGTAGCAGACTTCTTCTTACTAGCAGTCTTCTTGGCGGCAGTCTTCTTCTTTGGAGCGGCCTTCTTGGCAGGAGCCTTCTTAGTGGCAGTGGCCTTCTTCTTGGGTGCAGACTTGGCCTTCTTGGTGGTCTGTGTGGTTGTTCAAAAAGGGAGAGAATGAAAGATTAGTTAAATGTACCAGTAACTATACCAAGACGAATACAGTACAGCAATCAACACAATACAATACAACACAATGCAATACTTACGGCCTTGGCAGTAGCCTTCTTCTTGGGAGCGGCCTTCTTGGCAGGAGCCTTCTTGGTGGTGGTCTTCTTGGCGACAGCAGCTGGCTTCTTGGTAACCTTCTTCTTGA